CGAGGCAGGGGAGTGGTATATGGGTGCTATTCGACCTGATTGAGGTCAGTTGATTTTACCGGCAAGGGAATCAATGCATGTACAAGGAGATTAATCAATGGGATTTTTCGGTAAGAAGTGAGTGAGCAGTAGTAGCATGTTGTTGGTTTCATGTGGATTTCTTGAAAACTTTCAATTGTTTAGACTTGTGTATCTTCATTACATTTCTCCAATTATCTTCTGGGAAATTGATAAACATGCAGAAAACCATCAATGCAATTTTGTGGTAAGAAAATTTCTTTCGACAGACACACTTACCTTTTTTAATCCCATTGTTCATTTTTTCTGATATGTTTTACTTCTCTGTCTAATGAGGACACCTATTATCTAAAAAACTAAATATTGACATTGCTTTTCAATTTAGAAAAAATATATAGATATGAAAACTTTTCTGACATGATTTCCTTAGTGTGTAAAAACATGCCCACCTTGTTATCCTTTGCAAACTAATAACCATGCTACTTGAATAAAACTATAAATAATATTTCCATTTCCTTTGCCATAATATTTCGTTTGTCCACTAGTTTTTGCTTAGTCCCCACTTGACAGGCTATGACAAATGAATATTTTTTTTTATCCATTTTGCCTTTTCACAACATTAAATCACCATATGTGTACATTAAGTTCCCAATTTACCTACTATATAAGAAACTAATATTTCTTGTAGATTTTTCTTGTTTTTTTAAGGTTTTCCAAAGTAACATGCAATAATTCTTGTATCAATGTTGTTTTTTAGAAAACTTGATTTGCTATTAGAAAATCTCTTTTCAATTTGGACTTTCTATTAAATATTCTGTTGTGAATTTAATCTTTAGCGAATAATTATTAGAAATTCTATTTTGAATTTAAAAGGATAAAATTTAATCTTCAACGAATTGTTATTAGGATTTCTATTTTGAATTTAAAATGCTAATTGTCATATTAATAATAGATTATTAATGAATATGTGTTTATTCTGTTATGAATTTGTTCTATAACATAAACCATTAAGTTTTCTTTTGTTATTCTGTTATGAATTTTTCATACAACTTATTATTTATGTTTTTTTTGTTTTGTATTTACAGATAAAAAGAACTCACAAAAGAAAATAGTCGAAGTCGAGAAAGAAAATATATCAAGACCAAGAACCAAAAAAATAGTAGAATGCATAGAACCTATATAATTCTTTTGTCTATTTTAGTATAAGTTCACATTTGTATTTATATAATATTTTGTTATGACTGTTAGTATATACAAATTTATGTTTATATCCATATTCAATAAAGAATTTTGTTATGTTATTGATACATATGAATTTATATATGTATATTCTGTTGTGAATATGCATTTGTTAATTGGTATTTGGAAAGTGTATAATATATTTATAGTGAATATTAGTATAATATATTCTATATTGAATATTATTTCGAATTTAAGTTATAACTCAAATTTTAAAAATTTAGTATTTTGTGAATATATGAAATTGAAAAAATCTGAAATTTAAAATTTAGAAAATTTAAGAATCCCAAAATTCTCTTATTTCCATAATTATTTCGAAATAAAATTACCCTTTTACCCCTATATGTTAATCTAATTTTTAATATTATTTTTTATTAATTACCAAAAAAAATTTAACTAAAGAAAATGATTGGCTGAGAATCGTTCTCAGGTTCTCACTTTATTTAGTGTTTTTATTTGAACCATCCCCTATATATATCTTATATATATATATATATATATATATATAATATATATTATATATATATATATATATATATATATATATATATATACTAAATATAACCCGCGTTAAACGCGGGAGAACACATAATAATTAAAAAAAGAAAATTTATGGGAAACAAATGAAAAAAACATAAACTTTTAAATAAAAAAAAATATATGTCAAACAAATCCATAAGCAAACAACAATAGGAGTGAGGTGGGGTGGGTAAATTTACTGTTTATTATTAATCTTAAATTAAAAATGTATTAAAATAAATAAATAAATGCAAAAAAAACAAATAGAAAGGATATAAAAGTCATTTCAGATTTTGTAGGAACCAAATCACTTTTCTGCAGACCAGAGACCAAATTTACAGTTTAGTCAAGTTTTTATTTTTATAAACATCATATGAAACAAATGTCAAAACATCTTATTAACAAAAAAAAATAGATAATCATTCAATTTGAGAGGTGCATATTCATGATAAGTCGATAACATAACATTATAATACTTATTTAATGTTGATTTTAATTTAATGAAACATATTTATGTTTGTCTTATAATATTAAATTATTTTTTTACATGCTATTATGTAATTTTATCTTTTTCAGTTAGCTCATCAGCTAGCTTTTACCAACCAAATCAGCTCTCTAAATTAACAAACGCTCAAAAAATAGAACCTTTTTGATTTTGAAGTCTAATTTTGTGTCATTTCATCTATAATAAAACTATTTACAAGTGGGAATAATGTCCCTAAACACAGATTGTAAGAACAAACATTCTACACTTTGAGTCAACTCCCAAAGCAGCCTTCACCACATAATCAGTCAACTCATAGTCTCTCTCTCTTTCTCTTTCTTTCAAAGCTTTCAACAGATATCTTCTAATGGAACTTTAAAAGCTTAAGTATAGGCTTCTAATTAAAATATTAATTTTTGCCTTTCAATAACTGCCATTTTGCATAAAATGTGTTTGTAAATTTATGCAGCAGAGATCGATTGCGTTTTTTGTCGAGGAGGTATACGAAGCCATGACTTCATCATGTCATATGCTTTGAAACCAATTGCAACCGAAGGAACAATCTGCCAACAATTGTGCATCTCTGTCAGTATTTTTTGTGTGAAAAAAATCATTTATTAAGACAGAGAACACTTAAGAGGAAAACCAAAGGAATAAACGAAATCACTTCTTGCTATACATATGTACACTTTGAAACACTAATATTACCACCTTTTTTTCCATTTTAAGATGCCAAATATTAGTTGTGCAATATTTCCTTTTTCTGAACAAATTCTGAAGCAAAATGACATTTTTTCATGAGTGAATAACCAACCATTATACCTTCAAAAATGTAAAAAATACATTGTAGTAGGCAAACATGTTAGAAAATAGCAAAAGATGTTATGTATAAGGGTTATTTTCGCACATTCTTGCCAGCTATATTGGTTTCCTTTTACAAAATTTATTGTAAAAGGGGATTATAAATATTAAATACTACACATTTCATTTGCAAATAATAATAATAATAATAATAATAATAATAATAATAATAAAAGCTCAATTAAGATTATATTAAATATATATCTTCTTAATTGCTATAACAAATAATTGTAACTGAATTAAATAGAAAAACAAGATTTGTATAATGCGGTAAATAGAAAGAAACTACAGTAAGATGATATAATACACAGCTATATTATATGAAAGGACATTGGTATTTCTTGCTTTTAACCTATGTAAATTGAAAGAGAATAAAGGGTGAAGATGTAGAAAGACCTTGATGTAATTTATGCTGAGGCCAACAAATAATTGCCTCCATCCTTGTTCAGAGACAATAGTGGTGATCCCCTGCCATGTATTCTTATGTCTAGCACCACTACCACCCCAAAGGTTTGCATATTCTCAACCTAAAATTAATTATCAAAAATCAACCACTTTCATTCTTTTCTATTAAAACATTATACTTTCATTTTTTTTTCTTATTAAGGCATTGTAAAATCTAGCGAGTTACAACATTGTAATTTGAAAAATCTACTCAATTATAACACTGAAAATTGCTTTGTATTTGGTTGGCATTGTGGTGATTGGGTGGACTTTTCAATGTAAAATGCTATAATACATATATAAAGATGTATGTTGCTATTTATTGCATATTTGCATTCATCACTTCTTTTGTTTATTATAGCATCCTACTTTCATTTCTTTCTATTAGGACATTGTAATTTCAAAAAATCAAAGTCCAGGTTAATCTCATAAAAGACCTTATATTTTGTGTTTTTTCGGATTAGACCTCAAATTTATTTTTTGCCTGAAAAAGACCTTGTATTTTTTCATTTTGTCCGATTTGGCCCTTCTAGTCATTTTTTTTCCAAAAAAAGGTTAATCTCATAAAAGACCTTATATTTTGTGTTATTTCCAGATTAAACCTCATATTTATTTTTGAATGAAAAATACCTTATATTTTTTCCAAAAAAACCCTTAACTTTGTCCTTTTTTTTTCCGAAAAAAACCCTCAACCTTCTAAATGTTTCCAAATAAATCCTCAACTTTTTTAGTTTTTCCTGAAAAAAACTCACATTTTACAACTTTTTTTAGAGAAAAATGACTAAAAGGGCCAGATTGGAAAAAATGAAAAAATGCAAGGTCTTTTTCATGAAAAAAATAAATAAAGTTGATGTTTAATCTGGAAAAAAACCAACATATAAGGTTTTTTATGAGATTAACCCCAAAAAAGTTGTAAAATGTAAGGTTTTTTTCAAGAATAACTAAAAAAAATTGAGGGTTTTTCTGAAAGCAGGTACACGGTTGAGGGTTTTTTCCAAAAAAAAAATGTTGAGGGTTTTTTCGGAAAAAAATGAAGAAACACAAGGTCTTTTTTAGGCAAAAAAAAAATACAGTTGAGGTTTAATCCGAAAAAAAAAAACAAAATATAAGGTCTTTTATGAGATTAACCCAAAAATCTACTCAACTAAAACAGATGAAAATTGTTTTGTATTTGGATGAAACTACCAAAGCAGGTAGATTATTCATAAGTACAATGCTATCATATGAAGAAAAGAAAGTAAGATGCTATAATAAAAGAACAATGTAACAAATAAATAATTACAAGTACGTTGCTATTTCTGGCATTTAAGGAAAAAATAAGTGATAACATAACAAGTACCTGCATCTGCCTTCTAACAACATCTAAAGGGTATGTGAAAGTTTGGCCAAATAAACCAGCCAAAGCGCCACAACACAAACGCATCATGATTGATCTCTAATGCTCTTCAGAAACATGTCTTTTCAGCTTCTCATAAATGTAAAACTTCAATCCAACATATGGCAGATACCAATGAGCGTTGGACCTGATTTGGATATACATAATAAAAAAATTTTAAATATAGATATAAATGTAAAACATGTCTTTTTGCTCTACATTTTGAAAATTAAAGGAATATAATTCTTTCAACAATGGTCCATTACATTCAATCAGACACAGCAGATTCACTACTATCGTATTCATAGCAAACATAGGCATTGTTACTTATAGCTTTACTATTAATAAAGTTATTAGAGAAAATTACATTTTCGGTCCCAACCTGTTTACTTGCAATTTTCGTTTTTATTCGAGATTCACTACTGTCTTTGGTCCTTGAGTATATCTAATTTTTGCAATTTTGGTACCTAATGGCTAAATATTGTGATTTTACTTGAGACAGGGATCAAAAACGTTACAAAACCTCAAATAAGTGGAAACAGAAAATGATTGTTTAGTGACAGCTGACGATACTTTTATCTTTTTTTTTTGGTAAAGAAAATGAAATAATAAATATACTTGCACGTGGGGTCACGACATCTATATGCGGATGTACCAAATATATGATAAGAAACAGAAAAGAATTCGTTGTAAATTAGACCATAGTAGATGGAAAAAAATGACATCAAAAGAAGTACATAATGACCACAAAATAACATCTCCATGAAGCTCCCAAGTTTCTGCCTGAAATAAAAAAATATAATTTTAATAAGAGTATTGTGAAATTATAAAAATAAAATTAGGATTTTCTTTTTAGAGATTGTGTTGCACCTGTGTAATAAGCTTTCCTTCACGTGCTATGAGAACTAATGCACCTATCAATAAGCATATTCCATGTCCCCAATCCCCAAACATGTCAGCAAAAAGAAACGGAAAAGTAATTACAGTATAAATTGTTGGATTTGCTTCTTGGTATTTAGCAACACTGCAATCAATAGAATTTGGATATCATTAACTCAAATAATATTGTAATTAAAAATGTTGGTTTGTAGGAACGGAATGAAGCATTCCATTCATTTTCCAATTCCCTCATGCCAAACACTATCATAGTGTTTTAGTTCACATAAAGAATGGATGTTAAGTCCAACATGAGTATTCTACAAGCATTTTCCTAGAAAGGAAATATGATTTATACAAATCCCACAAGAGAATTTTAACGTTAATAATATAATTCAGAAAATTAAATATGAATATAAAGAAAGTAAATATGAGTTGGCACGTTCACAGACCTCGTGTCCAGGTGGACTGATGTGATTTTCAGTCCTATTCTGTATTATACCTTCTACGGGTTTGATCTGGACTTCTTTGACACTCGATAGACATGGTATTATAAGGTTGTGGTTTGGATTTTTTATGTGATTGTTTGCGTATATAAAAAGAGGTTTATCTAATTTCTTTTCATTCTTTGGTTGGGGGGTCAATCGAAAAAGAAAGGTTTAGGCTGTTCTGGTTTATAATTATCAAGCAAGGGCAATTTGGTCTTTTTTTGTATGTTACTGTTGTGTTTTATGTTTTGGAGGTTCTGGAGATTTGCAATTTTAAGTCATTGCTTCCAAGATACCTCAATATATAAAATTGTGTTATAATTGAAGATCTCTAATCTTGTAATGTAAAGAAAAGAAAAAAAATTGAGAAAATTACATGAAATGCAAAGATGAGAATCTCAAAAAGAGTCCGCTTTGTAGCCTGTAAAGTTGTTGAAGCTCAAGTCCCTTAAACATATTAAGTCAAAAAGAAATAGTATCTATAAAGCACATTATTAAAAAAATAAATAAATAAATAAATAACTTACCGTTTTGACATCTAGTATCACAGTGCCAACAAATGTTTTTGTAACAATATTTTAGATGTAGAAAGATGAAACTTAGACCTCAATTTTGATTGTAAACATCAATTCCCTATTAACCTATCAAAAAACAAAACATACAATTATTCAAACCTTTTAATAATATACAAACAGAATAAGAAAATACTTGTGGATTCTGGAGGTATTCAGAAATGTCATTACCATTGGATCCACAATTTCATCATCTCCAACAGACTACAAATCATGAGTGTAGTTATAGTTTGTAGCATGACAACAAAAGCATAATCTATGGATTTCATTGGAATCATAAGCAATAGGATGAAATATGAAAACCGGGAAACCCATTACAAATAGAAAAAAACAACATTTAAAGAATGAAAATAGTAACAACCCTTTAGATTCTTAAAACGGAATCAAAAAAAAATACAAACAGAACCCTAATCTTACAGACAGTGGAACAATAAAGGGATTAAAAAGTGACACTAAAATCAGAATAAAACCATTTTGGACGCAAAATTGGAAAACTGGGAAACTTCCAGATAAATTAGTAGCAGATGTTGAGAGTATTGTAAATGCAATTTTTCTATAACTCTCTCAAATCTATGAAAATTGCAACAATTTTCATTTTGGTATGGTCAATATCAGGCGCAACTTTTTCTAGGCAAATTTTAAGCTACAGATAGGAAAGGGTAATGTATGAACTTGAAAAAAATCCAAATATGCAGGCTTGTTTTTTTTTCTTTAAAATGACTTAAATTATACACGAAAGTGGGAGCTGTTGCACAAAAAAAGGAAGAGCAATTGAACATAAAATCAAAATCAAACAGAAACAACATACAACATATCGAAATTCTAAACACCAATAGACCACACAGGCGGTTAGTGGCAGCATTGTTGTTGGCCACAAATATCGGAATCCTGAATTTTTGGACAGGAAATCATCGGAGGCATGAACCCACAGAGTTGGAGACATCGCACAAAAAATCAGAAGGAACTGAACAAAACATTGGCGGTTGTATAGAAATCTAATCAAATTGAAACATACAACATACCGAAAGTTGAAACAGTAACAAAGCACTGGCGGTTTGGTGGACGATTGGTGGCGGTAATAGACGTTTCTTGGCCAAGTGAGGCGGCAACCATTGATTTGCGAGACGACATTCTCCGACGCCTGCCGCTTTGCAGTGACGACGTCGTTACAGAAGCTTTCCGATTGGACGTTGCCGTCGACATCACTGAATGCAGCAAGAAACCCGTACAGGAAAAGAAAGAAGAAAGGAACCTAGAAAGAAAACCCAAAAATTCAACGACGTTTGTGAATGCCCCAAGCTTCATCATAAACAGGAGGATCATGATCGAGAAGAAATCAATCCATCGAGGAGCGTTAATGTCTTCACCTTTTCGAACACAGCTACATCCATTGATGGATTGGAGAGAGGAAAGAGAAAAAGAAGAAAGAAAATGACTTCATGTTGATATATGCTCTTCGCTTTGTGACTATGCGGAGAGGAAAACTAGGAATGAAATGTAAAAGGACGTTACAATACGATGAGCCTGCGTATTTTGGTTTAAGATGATGATGTAGCAAAACGATCGTAAGGTGGAGAGCTAAGAGTAAGAGTGAAATGCAATCAAGGGCCCTTGTTTCTTCGATTTAGATTTAAGTAAGTTCTCTTTTAATAATATTTTAGATATATATATTCTATATATAATATATATTATATATATATATATATATATAATATATATTATATCACTTAGGCCTTTCATCATGTGGAACGTTGATTTCCATGTGGTTGAAAAATCCGCAATTTCTTCCTTAAACTTCGTAAACATGAAATTACCAAAACTTTGTGCTGTGAGGTATAACAAGAACCATATATAAAAGTGAGGTTATAAAAGAAATTACCAAAACTTTGCTTTCATCAGTGGAACGTTGATTCCATGTGGTTGAAAAATCCGCAATTTCTTCCTTAAACTTCGTAAACATGAAATACCAAAACTTTGATGTGAGGTACAACAAGAACCATATCAAAAAGTGAGTGCTCTAACCCTATATACACATCGAGTTTATATACTAGAAATGTACCCATACATGGAAGAAAAAGGGAGTTACCTCTAACAGCCCATTGACTTTGAAGTCAGACCTTTTCCAACCCTAATGTGTTGGGGATAAGTACAAGTGACACTCTTGTTTCTTATCTCGTATCATTGATCAAATCCAATATTGAGTCAAAAATCTCTTTTCCCTTAACTTTAAAGCTAGGGGAGTTACCTCTAACAACAAATTTTTCGTCACCCATTCTTCAAAATGAAGGCTTATGTCCATGTAAGGTATCTTTTGGCATGATTCCTAGAAGTAGATTGTGATTGATACTCTTTGTGTTACCCTTTCAGGAGTTTAATCACTTCTTCCTTGTGTAGATATGTTCATGTAAGGTATCTTTTGGCATGATTCCCAGGGTGTTTCTGTCTAAGCTGGAGGTCCTATTGGTTGTTCAGAAGAGAGAAAAAACCAGAAAACATTAGTTACATATGTGAAAAACTCTAAGTGTTTTAAAAAAGTACTTGTGGATGTGCTGATTGAGTAAACTTGTTTGTAATGTCCGCATTTTCTTTACCAACATCAACGTTGGGATTGCATGTTTATGCTTTCCAGCTTAATTCAACAGGCTAAAGTCAAAAAATGGTTAAGCATGATAATAGAAAGAAAGGCCAAAGGCACTCAAATTGAGCCTAATGTCACGAGATGACTCTTTCGACTGTCAATATATTGTGTGCCACTTAGAGTACTTGGGGCTAAGTCATGCTAACTTCGCTCCTTATTATGTATAACGAGTAGCAAGCAAGAAACTAAGGCTAACGACCCCGACCACGACAAAGGAAACAAGTATGTATTGCTTTAGACTCTCCAAATATACAAGGCTACTTCTCAATGAATGCTACAAATGAATCCTACTTTTTTATAGGCATGGAAGCTCCTGTAATATGTATAATCTTGACTATTCTAGATTTATCTACCTTTATCCTACTAATTTACAAGGCTTTCATATTGTTCTATAATATGCTTCGATCTCCTAGAGAGGCCTAGGACTTGGTTCTTCTACGTTTCTAGAATGCTTCATACTCTTCCAAGGATTTACGTGATGTTCTAGAATCTTCCATGGACTTCTGTTATGTTCTATAACCTTCCAATCTCTTCTAGGATGTTCTAGATCCTTCATTGTCTTCCAAATGTTCTAGAATCTTTCACTATATTCTGGAACATTCTATAATCTTTGTTGTCTTCTAGTGCGCCCTAGATTTTTCCAATGTCTTCTCAGATTTTTTGCTCGTTCCAACGTTCTCTAGACGTACCTGGAAACAACCAAACAGTTTGTGTGTGACACTAAGATTCTAGTTTTGTTGTCACGAAATGGCTGAATAGATGAAGATTTTATTAAGAGTATGACAAATCCATTAGCTTATATGTCCACATTAGTGGACTCTCGACTGGGCCGGACTATGACCCCATGTTTGACCCGGTAGAGAAAGCTATTTAAGAAGGCCTGATTCCATATTGATACTGATTATTATAATAAGCGACTAGTCAAACTCAATTGCAATATTTTTATGAGCAATTTGTAACACCCGACTATTCACATAAAGTATAGCCAAAAAAATTTCAACATTTTTATACGTAACGCGGTGTGTACTTATGTTTAAACAACAAGTACAAGTAGTTATATAACCAAACATACAAAATATGCCCAAGGATCAAGCTGGGTTATAATCTTACAAAAAAAGGTATAAGCTAGATCTAATCGCGATCACTCCGTAACACCTTTTCCTTTTCTTCCATATCCTAAATCTTGTAGCCACCATCATAAATCAAGTGTAAGCTTAAAAAGCCTTAGTGAATAATAATCCTAGCTTAAAAAGCTTAGTTTGTAATAATCCCTACATGCCTTTAACACATTTAATATTAGCAATATAATTTAACTACATCAAGAATGATTTTTACATTCTCGTAACTATTCACACCCATCAATATCGACTAGATATCAGCAAGCACACAATTAGGTACCGACTAGACACTTAGGATCATACCATACATATCGATTAGACACTCAGCAAGTCGCACAATTAGGTACCCGACTAGACACTCAGCGGGTCACACATTAGATACCGACTAGACACTCAGCATGTCGTACCTTTACATATCGACTAGACCACTCAACCAGTCGCCATAATTAGATACTTACTAGACATCAGCAAGTTGCACCTTTACATATAGACTAGACACTCAACAAGCCGCACATTAGATACAGACTAGACACTTAGCATGTCGTATCTTTTACATATCGACTAACACACTCAACAAGTCACATGCTTATCATTTAATACATTCCCTTGGATTTCGCTATCCAAGCTCAGAACCATTATCATATAAAGCATTTATAGCTAAGATACATATATCAACATATATCTAAAACTCATGTGTAATAATCTACTCTCCTTAGTAGCTATGTATGTCTAGCTACACTATTCCACTAGCTCTTGTTCTCGGTCGTTACCAAGAACCTTCAATCAGAATCTTGCATCAAACCTTCAATAACGACAATCACATTTTTAGCAATGTTACTTCTCTTTATCAAGAGACTTTAATTAAGCTCCATAAGCTTAATAACCAATTTTTCAAATTTTATCCTTTTTGTCCCATTTTGGCAAATTACTCCAATTTCATGCATCCATGTGTTTAACACAATGTCATATAGCTAAATAATGTGTCAAGAGTGTTCAAAACGTGCACAAGCTTCATGGGACATTTTAAGCCATTTCCGTTTCGACCCTTTTTGAAATTTTCTCATTTAGTCATCATACTTGCCTAAATGTGATTTTTTCTAGGTTTTAGAGTGAAATTTCATGAATCTTTTCATGGCAAATCTGTTTTAAGAATAACCAATTCTTAGGATGTTAACACCTTTTGAAATTACTCATCTTATACTTATTTTGACAGTCACTTTCAATAAAGTTTCTAAAAAGACAAGTTGTTAAATTTATAAAGTTCATAGCACAACATATTTGTGTTTTTGATTCAATTTCAAGATTTAATCATGCTCACATTAGTATTAGTTGCTATTTCACTCAAACTCCCAAGTTTGATCAAAACAAAAAATCAAAACTGTCACTATTCATCATCTTCAACCTCATGAAAATGGAAATCGATTCATGTATTGGTGTTTCTTGTGCCCTCATAAGCTTTCCATCCATGAATAATTCTAGCATGCACCAACCGATTTCAACATGAAATAAACTTCAAGCCCTAATTTACTCAATAATTTAGTTAGGGATGGAAAATAACTTTAGAAATCTGAGATAAATAAAGAAATCAGAAGTATGACTATTTTTCCATGCTTTCCGACTTCCATAGCGTGCCTGATGTTAGAAATTGGGGTATAGTAAGGCTTGGAATTCTGAGAATTGTGTAAAACCACTTTCAGATTAAAGCATTTGGGTGGGTGGTTACTCCCAATATTCTTTAATCGGATAGACTCAGAGAGACAAGAATTTAGAATGTTTTGATGATAGTTTCGTATGTACCAGAAAATGAGACCAAAACCGACTTTATGATCTTTGTCTCAAAACTGTCATATGACAGTTTCAAACTGTCATAAAACTACAAAAACTGACATAAAAACGGAAGTTTGGATAAGGGTCAACAATGGTCAATTCTTTGAAAATCTGATTTTCTGATGCATTTTTAATATAGCAACATACCCTATATAAAAAACTTTCCGTGCTGACAGCCAGGGGCTCTGCCCCTTGGACCCCGCTAGGGGCTGCCGCCCCTTGGACCCGCTCCCAGGGGCGCTGCCCCCGAACCCCCGTTCGTTTAGCGGCTTCGCCTCTAAATGACAGTGTACTTTGAAAAATTGATCAAAATAAACAAGTGTGTACTCCCACCATCTCCTTACTTGTTAATATTTAGCAATATCACTTTTGGTCAACAAAGTAATCCCATTACACTTAAATAATATTGATGATAACAAATCACGAACACCTGACACAAGCAACCGACGACCACGGTGGTTTGCTGCACCACACGAACACCACCCACAACACACCATCCCTGCTATCTTCCCTTCCTGTGAGCCTTGCTGCTACTGTGCTTTGCTTCTGATCTCAGAATCGCACATATGTGGGTACGTTGAGAGAGACGGCGGTCTCTCTCTTCATCTCACACACACAAAGTAGAAAGAAATAAAAATATTGATTTTATTTGTCCTTTTCTTCTTCTTCTGATGCGCACACAGGAAGGAACCCACAAGAAAATCACGTGAATACTGGATTGCACCTGGTCATTATGCAAAAATGACCAAATTACCCTTCTCTTAATTTCCCAACAAAAGTTTATAATTTGTCTATTATCTCATCCTCG